CTGAGCCTCAGCGTATTCATCCGTGATGCTTTGGGGCTAGACTTGACAAGTGGTTCTTACCAGGTGTGTACCTCATACTCGCCTAGAGTACTTGTAAAAAAAATACCCATGTGTGTTAGGGCTTTGTGCTAATCCCTGACCTATATTTTAAAGACATTTATTTTAAGATTACCCAATTAAGAACCATTGGATTAGACAAAAAATTTCTTTTAGTTCCAAAAAGCAGTATGTGTTTCAGTTGAAACTGTTTTTTCCTATTCAGTCCTGGCAGTCATTGTAGATTGTGGTCTTGCTGAAAAGTGGGGATGATTGTCAGGGTGTTTCCAGGTAAACACACATTCCTTAACTCACCTGTCCACCTGGAGATCCTTTCACACTGAGAGAAAGACAGAACCTGCCACGGGCTTCATTGATGGTGACCTGATTGAGAGTTTCCTGGATATCAGCCGCCCCAAGATGCAGGAGGTCGTGGCAAACCTACAGGTGAGCTGTGTGGAGTTCACTCTGGCCAAGTGGTATTCAGGGCAGGGCCTGCCAGAAGAATGGCAGGACTCAGGCAACTGTCCTCCGAGGATTTGAGGTGCCAGCAGACCTGTCTGGCCTTTAGTGAGCCTCACTGCGTGAGAATGAGTCTGAGGGAAAGGCTCCTGGGTCCACTCGAGGTAGCAGGCGCCTTAGCCCCTCTACTGTAGCAGTGAGGGCACGTTTGGGCATATCCGGGATCTCTGGCACAATCCAGAGGTGGGAGGTAGGCTCAGGATCCTGCAGGCAGGAGAAATGTCCATGATTCTGGAGTTGGGGCTGTTGCTCCCTGGAGATGGTGCACCTGGGGTCTCAAAGGACCTTGCTCACCTATGTGTCCCCAAGGGGCAGGGTGGGTTTCTGGTGAGTGCTTTGTCCTTCATGTGGCAGCAATGGCTGGTGGGCTTCTCCCTCCTCTGCTGAGGAGGGGAGCCCTCTTGGCCTCAGGACCTCCCCCCTCTCTCGTTGCAGTATGACGATGGCAGCGGTATGAAGCGAGAGGCCACTGCAGACGACCTGATCAAGGTTGTGGAGGAGCTAACCCGGATCCATTAGCCAAGGGCAGGGCTTCCCTTTCCTGGCCCTGCCCAAAGGCTCTGCCCTCCCTTTCCTCCCCACCATTGTCTTCTTGGCTATGGGAGGCCTCTCCCTAAGCCAGCTGCTCCCAGGGCCGCAGTTCGCCTGTGTGGAAATGGGGCTTTCTTAGGACTAAAACCAGTTCACTAGACACCTGGGAATGGGCTGAAGGCGGAATATTTTCTCCCTGGATTTTTACCAGTCTTATTTGATTCCAGCCATCACTTTGGACCACCAAGCCTTGATTGGTGTTGCCACTTGTCCTCCTTCCTGGGGAGGGATTTTGCAGCTCTTTGGTTGAAAGGAAGTTCGCGTGCGCACGCGCTCTCTCTCTCTCTCTCTGAGTGTGTGAGACACTCATGCTTTGTCCTCTTACTTCCTTTATTATTTAGGTTGTGGGTGTGGGAGGTTGCAGGTGGAGGGGAAGAGGGTCAGGAGGGTTTCATTGTCTCTGAAGTGAGAGCTTCCTTTTACTTCTTGCCTCTGAGAGCATCAAGCCTGGAGACCTGTTCAGGGCCAGGGCTGCCCCAGTGTAACATGGAGATGGTGGATGATCCCCAAGCCACAGCCCTTTGTCTCTGGGAATTCCATTCTTCAGAGAGAAGGGGGAGGTGGGGGGCTGGGAATTGGTTGTTAGTTTCTGAGTTTTACCAAATAAAGTAGACTCTAAGAAAGATACGTTTGTTTTTGCTTTTTTCCCTTTGCTTAGTTGTCCAGCATCCTAGGTATATCCTGCCCATTTACTGCACACCTAGGCACTGTCCCCTGCTTTATGGCAACTGCTGCAGTCACTTGTCCTTGGTATTAGAACAATGCTTCTCAAGCAGTGAAATGACATCTGCACCTCTCCTTTGTTACATGATTGGTTTTGGTGGGATTCCAAGCTGTGATATGAGTGTCTGGTTTTGGAAATTCAGTGGTGATTTTGGTTGCATTTGACTCAAGTCACCATTCAGTTCTCTGCTAGTAATCTGCAGGCCCTGGGCTGCTTGGGCTGCCGTTCCTAGCCTCCTTTGACAGTCAACCATCCCCTAGCCAGACTCGGCTACCAAATAGCTTCTCATGCACCTCCTAGTTCCTCCTTGCTACACGCCCTTTAGAATCTCATTTCCTTTGGTCTAATCAAATGAACATTTGAAGTTTGCCCTTCAGTCCTGCAAACAGAGCCTGCCATCTTTAAGCTTAGCGGGTCAGAGTGAACCCATCCCCTGCCAGTTATCCAGTGGGAATAAAGGGTACTCTGTCCCAAAAGTGGGATAGAGTTGATCTTGACATACCAGCTGGCCCTTTTAAGTCCAGCCTTTGAAACAGTGTCAGGAAAATTGTGGTTTCAAGTTCAAACTGTGGTTTTGAGAGATTCTAGCTTCAAGCACAAAGGGAGCATCCTAGCTTTGGGGTCTTCCTAAGTAAGGCTCCTGCTCAGGAGTCATTTTTAAAAATTTTATTGCCCTCTTTTTTCCCTTCTGAGATTTCTGAGGGTGGAGGTAAGGGTCTTCAGAGAGAAAATAGCATGTCAAAAGCCACAGTTTTGAACTTGAAACTCAATACTGTGATTTGAAATCTTAAAGTCATGGTTTGAATTTGAAAAAGGCCTGCCCCATGCCAGAGACAAGCTTTAATGAGGCAGGCAAGCAGCAGTCTCAGATTGTGATTATTTTTTTAAATTTAATCCTGGATGGGCGGATTGACTATAAGGTGCCAATATCAAAAAGAATGTGGTGGGAGGATGATTCTGGTGCTCTTTAGTGGCCTGACCCATGGCCACAGGGACCCACTACATTCAGTATTCAATGGCCTCAGTATTGAATTTAGAAGTCCTTGCCATGTTTTGCTGTTTTTTGTTTCCTAGTCTTGGGTGTATTCACTTGGGATTGGATTCCAGCAACCCTTTGGACACTGACATTCTGCTGCCACACTCCCACCCCTCTTAAAGACTATTAATCACCTCTCTAGGGGTGAAAGGTTGTCTTTGGAGCCTTGTTGCAGTCAGCTGGACAGGCTCTGTTCCATGTAGGCGCTGATGAGCTAGCCTCACTCCAGGCCTCTGCGTGAAGGGACCTTTGGGAGAATAATAGAAACACTGACTCATCACATGACCATTTGGAAGGGTCTTGAGCCAGAGGCCGTCAGTCTGCAGCCAGCAACTTGGATCCTCCACCCTCAGTGGAGGGTCCCTTTTGTTCCCGAGAAGCCACAAGCCACAGAAGTGGGGAAGAAACACTGAGGAACCTGAATTAAAGGATATGCCCAAACTAGTCCTCAAAGATGAGAAGTGTTAAGTTAGAGCCTCTTAATCCAAACCAAGAAGCTCAGGGTCAAACAGGAGGACAAGAAAAAGAAGAGCAAAAGCAAAACTAAAGGAGCCAGCTGTGGAGCTCCCATGGAGCAAGGTGAATGCCCAGAAGCGAAAGGAGAAATGAAGGGAGTCCAGTGGCACAGAAAGGGGCCTGGGGATTCCTCGGAGGAATTCCATACCTGCTAAGTATCCAGAATTCCTCATGGGGTGATGAGGGCCTGCTTCTAGCACAAAGCTGCATATAGCCTCTTCTATCTGCTTGTAGACGGTGCAGAGTAAACCTTACCAGAGAATGAGTCTTGCAGGATGGAGGAGGGTGTGGGCCTACCTAAAGTATGAGAGTTAAGAATGGAGGTTGCCAGGTGTGCTGGAGGGTGCTGAGAAAGACGGCATGAGCCATGATGTCTGTGTTAAGGAAACTGGTGAGGGGCCAGGAAGGAGTGCTTGTTTAACTGAGTGGTCCAGTTGGCAGTGAGGAGACAAGGTGACCTTTGGATGTTTGAAGCAAGAAGGAAAGTTGTCCTAGGACTCAAGGCACATACACATGGAGGTCACACTCATCCTATGATACAGAACACTCTGGCAACTGACTTGCTGAGAACTTGACATCAACAACACACACACACACACATCCCTGAGGTTTTCCTTTACTGAAAACAGCGTGTCATGAACTAACAGCATCATAAGGTTGCCCAAACAGCCAAGCCACATTTGGCTGCATAAAAGTCTGGTGCATCTAAGAAGGAGGGGAGTGTCCAGGTCACAGTTGGCAGGCACCCAGTGTTTATTTGTGGCCACCAATGTCAAGGACCTCAGTGACAGGAGGAGGCAGAACCAAAAGAATTGGCCAGTTTGGGAAGTAGACACTTTCAGAAAAAAACAAAACAAAACAAAAAAACCCCCCAGCTTATTCAAAATGGGATTGGGCTGCTTTTGACAAGTACCGAATTCCTTATCCAGGGGATTTATGCAAAAACTTGACTAATTGGGAAGATTCCTGGTCCCCGCAGAAAGTAAAATCTGGTTCTCCTTTCAGCGTCCCACTGGATGGGCTATCACTCCCTGCCTAAACCCCTAGGAGCTTACCAGCTTCTGACCCGCCAGCTGTAATAAAAGGAGGCTAAAGAGAGCCTTCCAGGTCTGCTTTCCTGGCTCCCCGCCCGCCTCGCCCCCGGGAGCCAGGAGCCTGGCCATCTGACCCCGAGGTGCTCAAATAGCCTGTAAGTTCAAGACCTGGCCAGGGAGCTGGCGGACCCACCAGTCCACGCACGCAAGGGCCGGGCTGCAGACCTGCTGGGAGTCTGAGGGCAAGCCTAGAACTGCGGAGGGCGCAACGACGCAGCGTCCTGAGTTCGGATCTCCACGATTCTCCCTTCCTGACAGTAGAGGCGTCTAGGGTTCCTCTGAGACGGGCAATGCCCCAGGCACGCAGAGTCCCGCTGCTAGCCCTGTTCCCGAAGTTTCTTTCGGACCAGGGCCTCGGTCTGACGCCCTCAGCCCTTCGCAGAAAGCCGACTCCCAAACCCAGGCTGGGGGTGTTGGCCTAAGGCTGAACTCCGCCCCCAGGGGTCCCTGATCTTTGCCCCCGCCCTGGGCTCCGGCCGCCGGGAGAGGCACCGGCTGGCCTGCGGAGCTGCCTTTTGTGTTCCGCTCGGTGGTGCGGGAAACTTCCCAGCCTTTCGCCGTTGCCCCCGGGCCCCTCCTCCCGGCGTCCCCAGCCCCCCTGCTCCGCTCCGCGTGCCAGCTCGGGGATCGCTGGTTCGCTCCCCTCCGCGCCAGGAGGAGGGGCGAGGGCCGGCAGCCCCCTCCCCCGCGCGCGGCGCCCGAGCTGAGCGGAGCCGGGGAGACCCGCAGCCTCTGGTCATGTGGGCCGGACTGCTCCTCCGGGCCGCCTGCGCCGCGCTCCTGTTGCCGGAGACCCCGGCCCGAGGCTACACGGGGAGGAAGCCGCCCGGGCACTTCGCGCCGGAGAGGTAAGAGCCCCGCGCGCTACCACAGCCGCTCAGGGGAGCGCAACAGGCGTGGAGCGCCGAGGCGCCGAGGGACGCCCCCCAGCTGCGGGCAGCGGGGGAGGGGGGGATCGGGCATCCTCCGGGGCTCTGTCCACGCGGGCGCACCCCCTGGGCTCCGGAAAAAGACAGCAACTTGTGCCTCTGGTCAGTGCCTGTCGTGCACCTCTGGCTGGGTCTGACCTGGGGGAGACGGAAACCCAGACTCTGGTTGAGCCCGAGGGCGCCTTGGGGGTGCGAATCCCTGGCGAAGGGACCCCGGGATGTGCGCTGAGCTCTGGACTGGCTGGAGTTCGCTCCAGAACGATCCGCCGTGGCAGTACCTGGTTTCCGTGCTGCGCCCGCCCCTCTGGGCTTGGGGGCTTTCCTTGTGTCCGGCGCGCCCAGTGGACCTTGGAGCCACCGGTGTCCCTCTGGGTTACGCTTTGGTTTCCGCCGGTGTTGCGAGGGGGTGGGGCCCTTCGCTGCCTCCGCCGCCGCCCCCGCCGCTGCCCCCTCCCCACCGCTGCCCCCTCCCCAGCGGTCGCAGGCGGTGAGCTTGTGTGCGTGATGCTTGGAGTGAGAGAACACGGTGTCAGCGGGCGGCCTGGCCGGCAGCCACGTCCTCGGGGGTGCGCGGCGGGGACTGCCCCGCCAGGCTCGCACGTGTGTTCCGCAGCCCCCGCCAGTTCCTGCTCAGATGGTGCAGGCTGTGCGGTGGCACACAAGCTCCTGCCACCTGTCTTCTGGTTACCGCCAGCCATGGGAGACTCCTTGGGACGCACTAGCAGCGCTACACTCCTTCCTACCTGAGGGTGCAATGCCACCAACCTCTCCCGAACCCTGCCATCTGCCGCTTTGGGGGCACCGCCTGTCCTTTTCAGAGCCCCCAGAGGCTCATCTGGTTAGCTGTGTGAGGCCCCTCCTCCCAGGCTGCTGCCAGTGTCGCTCCATCGAGGGGATGGGTGAGACAAGCACCCCCTCCCCATGACTCCGGAGACACGGAAAAGGCTCCTTGGGCTCCAGGGCCAGTTTCCCACAGAATTCTGTAATGCCATGATCCCCTGAGCTTCCCTTTCCAGAATACACCACAGTTGTCATAGAGGTTTCTCTCCAAGGAGAGGGCACATCTGTCTTGTCCCATGTCCCCAGAGGCTGGTGTAGGAATAAGCAATGGTGGGTGCTCTAAAAATGCCCGCCTGGCAGAATGACAGCCCCCCAGCTTCTGAACGTGGGCAGAGACCTGGGCTGGATGTATGGCCCCTGTGCAGCCCATCTAGGGAACAGTCAGTGCCAGTCACCAGTCTGTGTCCCCTCTCACCTGAGCTGCTATGCTGCATGCACTTCAGGACACTTCTGGTGGCCCTCCTCAGGGCTTCATTGTCCAGCCCACCGAGGCACTGTCACTCTGTATTCCTATTACCTGGCTCCTTGACTATCCAACGTTCCTTGAGGTGGGGACAGTGGCATGTTCGTGGCTTTACATGCCTTGACCAGCAGCCAACACCCAGTTGAAGGCCTGTCTGGATTTCTGTCCTTTTTGGACACTGGGTTCTTCACTCCCAGCTCAGTGTCCCTGATTGAGCAGACCCTCCTTCAGGGAACTTTGGGTAGCTCTCTGGTGCCCTGGGGTGCCCTCTCTCCCCTTCTCTACTGACTTCCAACTTTTCCCTCAACAGCCGTTTATTGAATACTTACTATGTGCTTTGCATGGCTATTGGTGCTGGCATGAACAACTAAAAAGAAGCCCTTGTTCTCAGGGAGCAGTAGGGGAGACAGACAATGAGCAATCATCAAGTTAACAAATAGTGTCTCAGGAAATATTATGGAGAAGAATAGAGCAAGGAAGGTCTCTGTGAGATGATGAGCAGAGACCTGTGTAAAGGGCGAGAGTGAGCAGGGTATGCGTCTGAGGAAGAACCTTCTCAACAGAGGGAATTGCAAGTGCAAAGGTCCTGAGGCAGCCATCTTGGGAGCCTCAGCTTGTGTCCTCAGCTCAGAGTTCCCTCTTCAGGCTACTCTTCATGTTCATGGGGAAGACATCCATAGGAAGCTGCTAATTGTTCTCTCACACTTTTTGTCTTTGTCCTACCTCCAGGAGAGACTGACATTTTTCTTTGAAAACTTCCCATTGTTTTCCCCAGGGGGTTCTGGAGAACTGTTTGTTTGTTAATTGACTCACAGACTGTCTGGGAGGCTTTGCAGTTGACCAGTCTCTTCCCGGACAGAATGTGGAAAATGCTCTCTCCTCTCTTGCAGACGCCGGTTGGGCCCCCACGTCTGCCTCTCTGGCTTTGGGAGTGGCTGCTGCCCTGGCTGGGCACCCTCCATGGGCAGTGGGCACTGCACCTTGCGTAAGTGGCCATCCATGTGCCCTGAGCCCTCTTGGTACACGTGAGCAGGGTGCATTGCCAGGGCTCTCAGTCCCTGGTCTGAGGGGCAGACGGGGGACCCCAACTCCTTACCTGCATTTCTCCTCTCAGCTCTCTGCTCCTTCGGCTGTGGGAGTGGAGTCTGCATCGCTCCCAATGTGTGTTCCTGCCAGGACGGAGAGCAAGGAGCCACTTGCCCAGGTAACGGGACAGGACGGTCAGTGGTTGACAGGAACACCTGAATTAGCTCGGGGACTTAGCTTAAGTGCTTAGGGACTTACTGAGGTCACGCGCCAGACTTTGGGTGCTGGATGGATACTAGCTTGTTATTTTCAACCCCTGCTATTAGGGAGCATTTTTTTTTTTGTTGGGGGGGGGAGTGGTGCTGGGGATTGAACCCAGGGCCTTGTGCGTGCGAGGCAAGCACTCTACCAACTGAGCTATGTCCCCAGCCCCTAGGGAGCATTTTTATGCCCACGTTAAGGAGAACGAAGCCGAGACATAGACGTTCTGTCTTAACCTGGGCCACAAGGCTAGGGAATAGCAGAGCTGGATTGGAACACCCTTCCAACAGGATTCTGGAGGAGCCTCGGTGGGAGGGGGCTGGGACGGCCACCTGGTGACTGTGCTGTTGGCAGGTGCTCACCAGTTTGGTATCATGCCTGTTTCAGAAGCCCATGGCCCCTGTGGGGAGTATGGCTGTGACCTTACCTGTAACCATGGTGGCTGTCAGGAGGTGGCCCGAGTGTGCCCCTTAGGTTTCTCCATGACAGAGACAGCTGTTGGCATCAGGTGTACAGGTGAGAGGCCTGGGGCCGTGGGGGAGGGGAGGGGGATTATGTGTCCTCCCATCCTGCTGAGATGGACTCCAGAGAGCTGGAGGCCTGCGAAGGAAGAGGCTGTCGATCTTGTTAGATCACAAATATTTACCGAGCACCTCTTAAGGGCAGGAACTGAGCTTGGGCCAGGGTCAGAGGACAATCAGTTGGTCACTGCTGTTATGGGGCTTCCAAAGATGGGGAAAGGGGACAAGGACAAGGTCAGCTCAATATGATGGGGACTGTAACTGGGGAAGTGCAGCATGCTGGGGCCACCCTGGCGCCTAGGCTGAGGGTCAGGTGAGCAGGGACAAAGCGACATCTGAAAGATGGACAAAGCAAAACTCAATAATTATTCTTTTGTAAAACTAGAATTTGCTTGTGATTTTTAAAAGGGACCGGTTTCTTGCCTATCTTTCCAGGGCTACAAAAACTTTTTTTGTTTTTTTTTAGTCTTAACTTTGTAAAAATACTATTTCCCTCTTTGAGTAGAAAGTAAATGATAGTTTATTTGCAAACATTTGGAAAATAAGGGTAAAAAGATAAAAATAGACATCCCCTGGGTGCCCCACCCAGAGATGCTTGCTATTAAAATGAAGTATTTTTTCTGCCCTCTTCCCTGGGTGTGTGTCTTATACGTGTATGTGTAAAGCATGCATCTATGTGTGTTTTATAAAGTTGGATCATATCTCAGCTGTAGATTTTGTTCACTAATTTTCCCACTTAACTTCATAGTATGGAAATCCCCAAATAATCCTTTTTTTTTTTAATATTTATTTTTTTAGTTGTAGATGGACACAACACAATGCCTTTATTTTTATGTGGTGCTGAGGATCGAACCCGGGTCCCGCCCATGCTAGGCGAGCGCTCTACCGCTGAGCCACAGCCCCAGCCCCCCAAATATTCCTTTTGACATAATTCTTTTTTTTTTTTTTGGTACTGCCGATTGAACCCCAGGGCACTTAACCACTGAGCCACACCCTCAGCTCTTTTGTATTTTGAGACAGGGTCTTGCTTAGTGCTGTCACTAAGTTGTGGAGGCTGGCTTTGAACTTGAGATCCTTCTGTCTCAGCCTCTGGAGCTGCTGGGATCGACCGCCCGGCTTGACCTGTTCTTAAGGGCTGCCGTTGTGGCACTGTAGTTGCTGTCTGTTCCTAGCTGGCCACCTCCCCTCTCCCAGGTGGTCTGTAATATAAATTAATAATAATAATAATAATAATAATAATAATAAATAATGCTGCAGTGAAGAGGCTTCCCGCCAGCTTGTCTGACTGTTTCCCAGGAGGACTCTTGGCTGAAAGGGTCTTGTCAAGGGTCTGGATCTCCAGGCTGCTTGTACCGCATCCTCCAGAAAGGAGAAGCCGCACAGTCATCCATCTTGCTAGTGTGACTTTCTTGGGGACTGCTTTCCACTCGTGCTCCTCACGGCAGAGGCACACTGGGCACACACAATGTCAAAACAAGCACAGGACAGGGTAGTGCCGGCCACAGCCATGAGGTTCCCCTGGGATGGGGTTAGTCGGGTGGGCTCCTTGGAGGCGGTGGGCGTGGTCTCAGAGGGCCTGCCCCGGGAAGAGCACTTAGGTGCCAGACAGAGGCCCAGCAGGGGGTAAAGAGCGTGGAGGTGTCCTTTGGGCATGAGGGCCAGGTGTTGGGGAGACTCAGGGGCAAACTGAAGTGGGCTGAGGTGGTCCTGTAGATCCTTGGATGCCCCGGTTGGTGCTGAGCGGGGGATGCCCGCAGCAGGATCTGCGGAGTCCCGCTCCCAGCTCCCCTCACCTCCTGGGCAGGACCCCTCTGGGCTCCACAGCCTGGTCTCACCCTACCCTGTCTCCTGCTGCCTTGATAGGAACCTGAGCTTCAGCCCCGCGGGGTCCAGTACAGACTCCGAGAGCCCCACTGCACTGTGGCGTTTCCATCCCTGTCTCCTCCTGATGCTCTTGGTCCCTGTGCCCCCTCGTTGGTGCTCCATGAATATTTAAGGCAGTGACACTGTGGATAATTCAACCAGCCTTGCTGTCCACTGGCCCCTGCTCTTTGGGGAGGCCTGAGGGGTTGCCCCACAGTTGGGGCCACCGGAAACTGTTCTGTCCCAGCCGTCCTGAGGTCATCTGATCTGTGTGGTCGGGCAGGGCCCAGCCCCTCGGCCTCTCTCATAGCCCGATGTCTTTCCTGGTCCTGCTCTTTCTTCCTGCAGGATGACCGGCTTCCGTGCTGCCAAGGGCAGGCCCAGTGTGGGCACGTGTTCCACCTGGGGTCAGTTTTCCCTGAGTCACGGCCACGCTCAGAGTGAGCTGTGCAAGCATCTTCTCTCCCCAGATATCAATGAATGCCTCAGCTCCTCTTGCGAGGGCCACTGCGTGAACACCGAGGGCGGGTTCGTGTGCGAGTGCGGGCCGGGCATGCAGCTGGCCGCAGACCGTCACAGCTGCCAGGGTGAGTGGGCAGAGGACAGGCTCTAGAGGAGCCCTGCACGATACCTTCTCCGTGCCACAGTCCCCTGAGTGGCATGCTGTATCATCCCCCTTTACAGATGGGGAAACCAAGGCTCTTGGTAAAGGTGGAGTCAGGGTTTGAAGCCTAGCGGGGCCCTCAGGCCCTGGCTCTGACCCTGCTGTTGTAGGGTGCAGGGGCGAGCAGGGGAGCAGACTCACTGGGTGGAGGCCCCCAGATGAAAGAGGGCTGGGAGGGCTGGGTGGGAGTGGATGCAGGGGCCAGGGTGGAGCGTTGTCATGGAGTCACCAGCCTGTTGCATGCATTGGTTCTCTCTGCCTTGGTGCTCTGGGGACACCCAGGCTGTAGGACCCCAGACCCCACCCTGTAGGGCAGTTTGGGGAAGAACAAGGTAGGGATGAAGCCTAAGGACTGTGAGAGCCCAGGAAAGAGACTTCCCCTCCTACCTGAGCCCGATGAGATCTTTTACAATAAGTGCTCCTCCTTTTCAGGTGACTCGCTGATGTAGGTTATATAAGGAGACAGTCTCACACCAGGCAGAGGAGACAAAACACCCCCTTGACTCTGTGCTGTTATTTTCTCTGCATGTGAAATTTTCATAAAGCATAAATAAACTTTCACAATCTGAAAATCAACATATGTCACAGGTGCCAACCCAGGCCCTCCCTCCACGGCCACCCTCCGCTCTCACCATAGACTACCCCTGGCGTTCCACCGCAGTCAGCTCCCGCTGCGTAACAAAAGACTGCAGCCTGGGGGTCCAACACCAGGGCTTTCATCTCCCAGTTCCGGGGGGCTGCAAGTCTAAGTTCAAGGTACTAGTGGATGTGATTCCTGGTGAGGAGTCTCTTCCTGGCTTACAGATGATAGTCCTGCCATGTCCTCACAGGATGGCAAAGGAGGAGGGGAGAGGCAGCCTGGTGTCACTTCCGAGGACACTAATCCACTCATGATATCCCACCCTCATGCCTCATCTGACCTAACTGTCTCCCAAAGACGGCACCCAGACACCATCACAGTGAGCAATCTCAGGGGGCACAACTCAAATCAGCACCCGTCATTAGGCTGAGTGCCCTGCCCAACTCTCCTGTCCCGGGTCCCCAGCTCTGTGCTTTCCCTGTATTTTCTCATTTCATCCCTGAAATCATTCCATGATGGTGACACCGTTTATCTCCATGGCTTAAAGAAATCAACTGACTTGCCCAAGATCACATTGGAACTGGGATTTGAACCCGGTCTTCTTCCACAGTTTTCTTTTTCCTGAACAGTTGGTCTTAAAGATCTTCCACCTTTGGGTAAACAGGACTGCCTTGTTCCCTTTACCTGCGGCCTGGTCCTCTGCAGGGCAAGTGTCCCAGAGCTCACCAACTCGTGTTGGTGAACAGTTCCACACACGAGCCCAGGGAAGCGTGTGCCGAGGAGGTGCTCAGGAACTGAGTTAGTAGATGTAAGAGTTTTCTAGACAGATAAGGGAAAGGCATCCAGGGCAGATAGAAAAGTGGACGTGGTGGGGGGGTCTGCAAAAGTGGGTTGTGTTTGGACTTAATTAACCTAGAGCGATGGTAAGGGCTGGGGAGGATGCTGGGTAGTCGGTGTAGACCAGAGCCGGCTTTTTTTTTTTTTGGTATCAGATTGAACCCCGGGGCACTTACCCACTGAGCCTCAGCCCCAGCCCTTTTTATTTTTTATTTTGAGCAGGGTCTCACTGAGTTGCTCAGGTTCTCACTAAATTTCTGAGGCTGGCTTTGAACTCATGATCCTCCTGCCTCAGCCTCCCAAGTGCTGGGATTATAGGTGTGCACCACAGGGCTGTCTTTAAAGGCCTGGTGAGCACCTCTGTGGTGGGCTGCGCATGGGAATCCCAGAGGGGTTTGAGCAGGAAGTGTCGGGTGAGAAGTGCCCTTAGGCAAGAACATCCTGGGGGTCCTGTGAGGAGGCTGGGAAGGAGCACAGGTAGAGGCCGGGAGATGCATTAGAGGCTGTCTGTTCTCCAGCTGGGAGATGCAGGTGGTCAGGGCTGGGTGAGGGTAAGGGAGTCTAGGGACTGTTAGACTGGACATGGGGGTTAAGGACGTCCCCTGCAGCCCTGAGTGGGGTGGGGGCCGCCCCTTTCTAAAGCTCCATGGGGAGGTGGATGCCAGCCTGTGCTTCCCCTCACAGACACCGACGAATGCCTGGGCACCCCCTGTCAGCAGAGGTGTAGGAACAGCATCGGCAGCTACAAGTGTTCCTGCCGCACTGGCTTCCATCTCCATGGCAACCGGCACTCGTGCGTAGGTAAGGTCAGGACCCTGTGGTCTGCACACTTAGGCTGCCAATCAGCAAGATGGACAGGGTCAGCGCCTGGACCTGGAAGGTCAACATTTAGGCCTCTGGGTCTCCTGGAACCCCAAGGGTTTGCACCTCTATTCTGTCCGGGGTCAGCACTGCTCTGCACGGAGACCCTGTGGTGGCCTCTCCTGGCCACCGGCCCCTGTCATCCCACTAGGTTTCTCTTCCACCCCGTTCTCTCCCAGATACACCAAGGATTCTCTGCTCACCCCTTTTCTTGGCCTCCTTTGTTCCCCGGGGTAAATAAAGCATGTTTGTACCTGATTCCTCTGATACAGAAGGAGACCCCTGTTTTCTCAGCTTATTAGCCAAAATTTCCGGAAAGAGATTGGCTTGAGCTTGGCTCGTGGGTTGAAGGTGGGGGTCCCCTGGGCTTCAAAGAGACTCTGTCCCAGCGGAGTTAGGTGTTGGTCCTGAAGTCCACTTGGAGCAGCACAGTGAGTCTTGAGGTCCTTTCTCAGAAAGAAAAAGTGGGCAGTGGAAGGTGTGGAGTGAGATCCCCAGCACTTCTTGTTCCTACTGTCTACCCTGATCATGGCTGCGAGGTGCTGGGGATGAGTTGTGGATGCACCCATTAGATGACTGCTGCATGCACGAACCTCCAAGGTGACTAGTGCTGGATTTTGGCCCCGTTTTTAGCCACCGGAGTCACATCCTGCACCTTGGAGCAGGGGAGGACCCGGCAAGAAGCTGGCAGGAAACCCCCCCCAGCCTCTTGGACTAAGGGATGGCAAGGAGGGCTCCCAGCCGGACTAGCGGCCGGGGTCCTCTGCAGATGTGAACGAGTGCCGGAGGCCGCAGGAGAGGAGAGTCTGTCACCACTCGTGCCACAACACTGTGGGCAGCTTCCTGTGCTCCTGCCGCCCTGGTTTTAGGCTTCGAGCCGACCGTGTGTCCTGTGAAGGTGAGTGCCGAGTCCAGCTCTTAGCCACAGGCCTAGCTGCCCAGCGCCAGGCCCCGTCCCCACATCTGCAGGCTCTGTCCCCAGATCCCCAGGTCCTATCCCTAGGTCCCCAGGCCCGTCCCCAGGTCCCCAGGCCCCGTCCCCAGGTCCCCAGGTCCCATCCTTAGGTCCCCAGGCCCATCCCCAGGTCCCCAGGTCCCATCCTTAGGTCCCCAGGCCCCATCCCCAGGTCCCCAGGTCCCATCCTTAGGTCCCCAGGCCCGTCCCCAGGTCCCCAGGCCCCATCCTTAGGTCCCTAGGCCCATCCCCAGGTCCCCAGGCCCCATCCCCAGGTCCCCAAGTCCCATCCTTAGGTCCCCAGGCCCATCCCCAGGTCCCCAGGCCCCATCCCCAGTCCCCAGGTTCCAGCCATAGGTCCCCAGGCCCCGTCCCCAGATCCCCAGGCCCCGTCTCCAGGTCACCAGGTCCTGTCCCCAGGTCCCCAGGTCCTTAGGCCCTCTGTGTTCAGTTCGTCTTGCCCATTATTTCCAGTGTCTGCCCTCCTCCTTGTGTTACCTTCCACTCCATCTTCATGTTTCCTTATGGTTAAGAGGAAAGAAACCCGTGGTGATAGAGAAAGGTGTGACATCAGAGCCCAGTAACCTGAGCCCCAGGACAACTGCTTTGGACAGTGGCGTCCTAGGGCTTTGCCATGCTTGGGCGCCTGGGAACATGTATACACGCAGTCGTGTAGGTGGTGGGTGCGGCTGTTATGTCCCCCCTTCAGAGCCACCCACTCGTCTACCCAGCACACCTACCCATGGTCGCTGACCGGCCCTTCCCGGCCCTTCCGTCCTCCCGCCCTGGCCTCTGCCTTCTCTCTGCTGCCTCCTCACACTCTGTGAGGCTGGAGGATACCAGGCCCCAGGGCTCCATCTCCAGCGCCGGGGAAGCCCTAGCTGGGTGGGGTAGCAGGGGACACACTGGCCCATCAGGACATAGGAGCCGGGGGGCCGTTAGTCCCAGGGTGGATCCCAGGCTCAGGGAAACTTGTGTCCACTCCGTGGCAAGCAAGGAAGGGGATCTGGTCAGCCTGGTCGTGCTGCGTCTGAAAGAGCCATGCCAACCTGTGACCTCCAGCTCGTGACCACCTTCCTGTCTGTCTTCCCACATGGTTGTCATGGTGCCCCCAGGGGCTCACGGTTGACCCCTGTGCCCATCAGGAACCAGGTCCAGAGACAGTGACTGTGGTGGAGCGGAGCCCCACCTGACCCCCGGGCCCCACCTCTGCCCTACTCCTCCTCAGTAGACCCCTGCGCCTCTGTTGCAGCTCTGCCGAAAGCCATGCAGGCCCCGTCTGCCATCCTGCAGCCCCGGCAGCACCCCAACAAGATGCCTCTGCTGCTGCCCGAGTCGGGAAGGCCAGCCCTGTCCCCAGGACACAGCCCTCCTCCGGGGGCCCCAGGGCCTCCTGCAGGAACCAGGACGACCCACCCGCCATCTCCCACCTCGCCACCACCCTCGTTCTTCCCTTCTGCTCCTACCCGGCTGCTGTCCACCCTGATGGCCACCCCAGGGCCTAGTGCTGCCCTGCTGAGGACCCCCAGGCCTCCCTCCTTCCTCCAGGGGGAGGTGGTAGGGACCCCTTCCTCACCAAGGGGCCCTGGGAGCCCGAGGCTGGCAGCCAGGCCCTCTCCCTGCTGGCACCTGGGAGCCGTGCATGAGTCGGGGAGCCACTGGACAGAGCCCAGGTGTTCCCAGTGCTGGTGTGAGGTGGGTGTGAGGGCTCCCTGGGCTGTCCTGGTGCCAGGTCTGGGGTCTGGTGGTGGCTGCAACTCCTGCTGTGCTTCCAGGATGGACAGGTGACCTGCGGAGAGGTGAGATGTGAAGCTGCTTGCTCCCACCCGATTCCCCCCAGAGATGGGGGGTGCTGCCCCTTGTGCACAGGTAAGAGTGGGAAGGACGCAGTTTGCCTCTTCCCTCCCCCGGCCCTCCTGCGGTCCTGCTGTTCTGCAGTTGTCCCTTACATTGGAATCCCATGGAGGACCCTGTAAACCGCAGATTCCTTGCCCCGCCCCCTGATTAGCACATCTGGGGGCCTGAGAATGTGCTCGTCTAACAAACTCCCAGGGGCTGCTGGGCTGGAGACCACTTTTATTTTATTTTATTTTTTGGTTCTTTTTACCCCAGTACCAGGGATTGAACCCAGGGGTGCTTTACCATTGAGTAACACCCCCAATCCCTTTTAAGTTTTTATTCTGAGACAGGGTCTCACTAAGTTGCCAAGGCAATAAGGCCCTCTCCCTGCCCTCACCTGGGAGCCATACATGAACTTGATCCTTGAACTTGTGATCCTCCTGCCTCTGACTCTTGAGTTGACGGGATTACAGGCATGCACCACGGGGTCACGCCCTGGGGACCACACTTGGAGAAGCGCCTGGCTCTGCCATAGTGCCCCTCAAGAGGACCTGTTTGTCTTCTGGGCATCCTTCTTGAGCTTCACTAATTCACAGAGTGAGTCTCCAGACTCACCTGGCTGTCTCCTTCCCCTGCCCAACTCCTGCCCCTGGCTGGAGGAGCAGCTGTTTCAACTCCTGCACAGGCTGGGGGAGTGGCTCCGTGCAGCCCTTGCCCTGCATGCACAGGCCCGGGTCCCATCCCCAGCACCGAAGAACACCCCCCACCACTTGCAACTTTTTATTTACTTCCCATGGCCCCTGGGATAGAGACCCAAGCTCCTTCAACCGAGCTTCTCAAAATCCGCTTTGTACACAAATTGCCCAGATTCTTATTAAAATACAGTCTCCTAGTTGGTGGGTCTGGGTTGGGTCTGAGAATCTGCGTGTCTCTGAATCTCCGGGTGATATGATGCTGAGGTCGCTGGGCCTTGAGCAGTAATAGTTTTCCCCAGGGGGTTGGGGATGTAGCTCAGTGGTAGAGCCCTTGCCCAGCATGCCCTGGATTCAATCCCCAGCACTACAAGAAAAAAAAAAAAAAGTCTTGCCAAGGTTGGACGTGGAAATATAAGTTCACTTATTTTACTGATTTTCTTAATGACATCTTTTACTATGTCCTTACTGTGTACTGAGCCCTGGATGTAAAGTACTGGGGCTTATCTGCAAGCTTATCCTAGCTTGCAGATCCTTCCAAGTCTCCCACTGGGTGATATTTCCATTCTGTGGTGAAAGTGCCAGACTTCTGGGAGTTCTGGTGAGGCAAAGCGTCGTGTCCAGGGTCACCCAGGTAAACTGAGCCGGTAGGCTAGATGTGAACACAGGGCTGACCTTTGTCTTTCCTCCCTGATGGGGATAAAACTCTGCAGTCTTAAGACAATTGTGGCTTTACCAGATGTGAGTGGACCCTCCCGGGGCCATCAGAGAAGCTGATCCTTGCAGATGGCAATAGGTGGATGCTCAGGGTTCCCCTGTTGTTCCACAGTGTAGGGACCCTGCATCTGCCACTGCCGAGACATCCCAGGCAGTGACCGGAGGTCCAGGTGCATTAGGTCTGGACCTCATTTCCTGTGTGAGGAGGGCTTGAGCCCCTCCTGTTTGTCTTCCCCAGGCTGCTTTTACAGGGGCGCCGTCAGAGCGGAAGGCGACGTGTTTTCACCTCCCAACGAGAACTGCACGGTCTGTGTCTGTCTGGTAAGCGGCATCAGATCCCAGAGGGCTCCTGGGTGTTTTCTTAACCTTTGGGGGTTTCAGAGGAAGGGGGAGAGCCCAGATGTTCAAGGTAAGCTTGTACCCCAGGAGGGAGGGTGCCCAGGCTGTGGATTTTGGTCGGAACCTGCAGCGTCCAGCCCAGAGACTGCAGGGCGTGGGGAGGAAAGAGCCACCAGGTGAACAGGGTCCATCTGTTCGGAAGGGACGGGATGAAATTCCCTTGGAAACTCCCCCTCCAGGGAGCCTGTTCTCTCCAGGCAAAATATTTGCCAGCACAATCCAAGGTGTTCAGTTTGGGAGGGAGAAAGCTCAGAACCACGCTGGGTTTGTCCAGTGTACTCTGCTTTAGGCGCTCCACGCCTGCAAGGATGGTTATTAAGTGCCTACTGTGTGCCAGAGTGCTGGGGCCAGCTTTACCATCCCTCTGCTACAGATGCAAAGACTGTAGCAGATGTATCCACCCTTGGCATTGGGAAATATAAGAGCTAGGATTTGAGCTGAGGTCTGAGTGAGTCCTAAGTCCAGCTCTGTCCACCAACCCTCACTGCCACCCTCTGACTGTCTTTAACAATGGGTCCTAACCCAGCACGGGGTACACGGCTGTAATTCTGCAGCTTGGGAGGCTGAGGCAAGAGGATCATGAGTTCAAAGCCAGCCTCAGCAACTTACTGAGGCCCTAAGCAACTCAGTGAGACCCTGTATCTAAATAAAACAAAAAAATAAGGCTGGGGGTGCGGCTCAGGAGTCGAGTACCCCTCAGTTCAATCCCTGGTACCCTCCCCCGCCACACACACACACACACACAAAAATCGGCTTGTGGACTGGCATCTATGGTGGGACTAGAGCATAAGGTCAGGGGTGTCTGGACAGCTGCCAGCACTCTGCACTGAGCTCTTCCATTGTACCGAACACACGGTGGCCGAGCGTAGTGGGTGACCACATCGTATATATTGAGAAGGAGGCAGGTTCCACCCATCTCACAGACAGGGAGACTGAGGCTCAGAGAGGTGATGTACTTTGCCCAAAGTCCTGTCGGTGGAGGGGCAGACGCTGGAACTCACGTCTGGTTCATTCCAAAGTTGGGGGCTTTTTTTTTAGAGAGAGAGACAGAGAGAGAATTTTTTAATATTTATTCTTTAGTTTTCGGTGGACACAACATCTTTATTTTATTTTTATGTGGTGCTGAGGATCGAACCCAGCACCCCGTGCATGCCAGGAGAATGCACTACCACTTGAGCCACATCCCCAGCCCCCAAGGGCTTTTGATTTTAACTTTAAATTAAAAAAAATTTGTTCTAAAATTCAGTTCTTTGAAGAGCTGGTAAGAGCACTCCGGCCCAGACTCAGGTGCATGGGAAGGTGAGGGGAGGTCTCCTGCCCTGTGGGAGGGTCCTGTGCTCTCCACTGCCTGGTCTCCCTGCAGACCTTCTGCTGCGAGGCCTGTTTGTCTGCGTCTCTTTGCTCTCCGTTCTCTTCTGGCCTTTCTTGAGAAACCACATGTCTTGGAAAGGGGCGCCTTCTGAGCCCCACCATAATAAACACAGGAGCAAGTCCCTGTGACCATGCGACATTCGAAGTTCTCAGGTGGCGTCCCCTGGGCAGCTCTCGTGATAGAAAGGTGTGGTGGGAGAGGCAATGAGCTGATCTGTGATGGACCCGGAGGTGGCAGAACCTACACATCCTCCTTCCCTCCCCTCTCTCTCACCGCCTCAGGCTGGAAACGTGTCCTGCATCTCCCCCGAGTGTCCTCCTGGCCCCTGTGAGACCCTCCCACAGTCAGATTGCTGTACTTGTGTCCCAGGTAAGTGACTCTTTTGTCTGTGTGCAGGGAGGGGTGTCTTTTGAGTGTGTTTTGGGTTGGGGGAGGAAAGGAGCTGGGGAGAGAGTGGCTTCTACTTTAGAAATTCAGATTGAGTGAAGCATTTAGATTGCCCTCTTTTACTGAGCACCTATTATATGCCCAGTGGTTCGGTGGTTTGGATGCTGGACTGTGCTCAGAGCCAGGCCTGCTCCCTGTCCTAGGAAGCACCTTCAGGGTAGGCAGAAAGGGGTCTGCATCCACCCTTGGCATTGCTCCTTGGCTAGATGTGGAGGGATCTCTGTGTACCCACTAATGAGCTAGTCCTTTTTTTGGGGGGAGGGAGTACTGGGGACTGAACTCAGGGGCACTCAAACACTGAGCCCCATCCCCAGCTCTATTTTGTATTTTATTTAGAGACAGGGTCTTGTATCTCTGGTTGTATACAAAGTATATTCACACCATTCGTGTCTTCACACATGTACTTAGGGTAATGATGTCCATCTCATTCCACAACCGGAGATATGAAAAATTGTGCTCTATATGTGTAACGTGAATTGTAATGCATTCTGCTGTCAGGTATAACAAATTAGAATGAAAAATAAAATAAGAGAGAGAGAGAGAGAGAGAGAGAGAGAGAGAGACTCACTGAGTCACTTAGTGCCTCACTTTTGCTGAGGCTGGCTTTGAACTTGTGATCCTCCTGCCTCAGCCTCCTGAGCCGCTGGGCTTACAGGCCTGCGCCACTGCGTGATTCTGTCAGTTTTTAAGTTGTGACTTTTGTGCCTGGGGCTGGGGGCCGGTGGTGCAGGTGGTGCCAAGTGGGACCCCAGGCTCCTGCCCACATGCCCTTCTTCCTCCAGCTGCCCCAGCCCAAAGGCCTTGGGCCACTTCTCCCTCTCTCCCCGCAGTGAGGTGCTATTTCCGCGGCCGTTGGTACGCAGACGGGGCAGTGTTCAGTGGGGGTGGTGACGACTGCACCACCTGTGTCTGCCAGGTAGGGTGGCTGAGGTGACAGGGAGGGGGTGGGGCCTCCAGGGGTTTACCCAGGATGCTGTGACGGGGAAAACCACCACGAGGGACCAAAAAGGAGACCGAGGCAGCAGGGCCACTAATCCCCCAGCCCCAGGCTCCTTGAAGCACTGCCCTGGCAGAGCCCCCAGCCTAGGCGGGCGTGGCCAGGTCACTAGCACCGGAAGCCTTCTTGGAGGGAGGGATGCTGAGTGGGGACCTGAAGGGGACAGGACACATCAGGGGAGGAGCGGAGGGAGGGCCGTGCCAGGCAGGGCGTCACCTGGCTGAGGGGGAGGTGGAGCAGCACAGAGTGAAGGGGAGCAGGCAGCCGGCCGGGGTCCTGGAGGGGTGGAGGCTGGTTCTAGGCCAGATGGGAGGCAGGATGGGCAGGAGGCAGCCGGCTGCTCCCCCAGGCTCCTCTGCAGGGGAGCCGAGGGCCATCTGCAGCTGGGATTTTGTGGTGGAGTGACTTGGTCAGACTGGGGCCTGCTCTGCTCTCTGGCTGCAGAGGAGCGTAGATGGGGGGCCAGAGAGGAGGGCAGTGGGGGCTGTGTGGGAAGGTCCCAGGGGGCAGGGCAAGAGGTGGAGGCCCAGCTGGGGCTGGGGGGCGCCCTACCAGCCCTGCCTGCTCCCCTGGAGGTTCAGCACTTCCTTGAGAGGGGAGAGGGCAGTGGCCACCCTCCAGCCTCTTCCTCAGCCTCCAGGGGCGCAGCGGGGAGCTCCCTCACTGGCCATGCCCTGGGCTCTCTTCCAGAAGGGGGAGGTGGAGTGTTCCTTCACACCATGTCCAGAGCTGGACTGCCCCCGAGAGGACCGGTGGCTGGGTCCTGGGCAGTGCTGCTTCACCTGCCGGGAGCCCACGCCCACCACAGGTGAGGTCCAGCCAGGGCTACAGGGGGGGCGCAGGGCTGGGGTGGCCAGGGGGAGTGAGGCTTCTGTTGCCGAGACGGGTAGTGTGTGACTGTGTGTGTTTGTGTATTTGTGCTGGTGTCTGTGTGAAAGTGTACCTGTGTGTGTGTGTGTGTCTTTGTGTTATTTTAGTGTGCCTGAGTCATGTGTGGGTGTCTGGAGTGTCTTTGTGAGTGTGTACATTTGTGTATAGTAAATGTGCATTTTTTTGTAGTTGTAGATGGACAGAATGCCTTTATTTTATATTCATTTTTTTAATATGTGGGGCTGAGGATTGAATCCAGGGCCTCACGCATGCTAGACAAGCGCTCTGCCCCGAGCCACAGCCCCAGCCCCGTCACTGTGCGTTCGTGTGAGTGTGGGAGTTGTGTCTGCTGAGCATGTGTGTAGGTTTGTGTGTCTGTGTGTTACGTCTGAGTATGTTTGTGTGTGGAAGCAGGTTTGTGTGAGTGTGTGTGTGTGTGTCGGTGAGTGTCAGGGGTCCTCCGAGGTGGGATGGTGCTGTGGGTCCCCAGGGCAGTCCTGCCCACTCTTTCCTCCCTCACTGTCCCCGGCCAGGCTGCTCTCTGGACGACAACGGGGCTGAGTTTCCGATTGGACAGATCTGGTCACCTGGTGATCCCTGTGAGTTATGCATCTGCCAGGTGAATGACAACCTGCTCGCCTTCAGCTGCTTTACCCGCTGTCCCGCTGCCTCGCCCAGAGGAGCTCCCCGTCCCTCCACAGGCAGAGCCGCCTCTGGCCAGGCTCAGCCTCCCTCCCAGAAGGGCTCTGCCTGTCTGGGTAGATGGCTGGGGACAGTGCAGTCGGCTTATTCAGGGAGCTGCTGCCCCCGGGATCAGACTTAGGAGCCCTCCCAGAGGGTGGCCTGGGGCGTGGCTGGCCGCGGGCACCGGGCAGCCCAGGCCGTGCGTGCCGCTGCCCCTGTGAAGCAGGTCGTGTTCCTGACCACGAATCCCGCGCCCTCCCCTCATCAGAAGTGGTTCAGGAGAAGGTGCGAGGGTTTGAGAGTCAGATGGACAGAAGCACAAACTCCGCTACTTACCAAGAAATGCGGCGGTTTCAGCCCCTGGTTCACCTGCATGCTGGGGTCCTTGCCACCTTAAAACAACTGTGCAGGTGAACCATGGGCCGGCGGCCCCCGCGGGACATGCAGTCCCCAGCCCCTGCCCACATCCCTGGAGGCAGATCTGCCTTTTAACCTCCAGGTGATCCTGGGCACAGCCGGGTGCACAAGCCTGGCCCAGCCTCCGAGGTGCCTGGGGCCTGCAGCTGGAGCACTTCACTGGCTGGAGTGTGAGGAAAGTCCGCCTCGTGCCTCTTCTCTCCCCTAGGACGCCTTCGTCACTCCTTTTACAAGAGGGTGAAATAAAGGGGTCATAAACATCCCGATTCTTGAAAAAGAAAAAGGAAAAGAAACCTTGTCTGGCATTTTTGTCTTCTGAAATAGACATTTCCGGCCGAATGGTTTTCTATAAAAATAGGGTTTTATGGTACTCGATAGGGTTGGGGGGAGCCAGGGATCCAGGGAAACGCTGAGAGAAGAATTTGGAAGGGGGCGATGGCGCGGCCTCTGGCTGCCACTGCAGAGGGACAGGGAGCCAGGGAGACGGAAGTCCCAGCTCTCACCTCCCCTCTCCCGAGACACGCGAAACCTTTCAGGAAGGCTCCTGTCACTCTGCCCAAGCAGCGGTCCTCTCTGGGCAAGCCACGGCCAGTGTGCACAGCTGCCTCTTTGGGGCGGGAGGCAGGGCCTGGCGTCCAGGTGGGTCTTGGTGAAGTTGCTCCTTCCTTCAGGCAGATGGCTCGGTGAGCTGCCGGACGACAGACTGCGTGGACTCCTGCCCTCACCCCATCCGCATCCCCGGACAGTGCTGCCCAGACTGTTCTGCAGGTAACTAACTCCTGGCCAGACCCCCCCCCGCCCCCAGGCAGCGATGCGCAGGGTCCCAGTGCCCAGGCCCCTCTGCACTGAGCACCAAGCAAGCCTCCCAGCAGCCCCGTGGGGCAACCCCATTATACAGATGAGGAAACTGAGGCTCCTAGAAGTAAGCAGGTGCAGTCTAGGGGTGCTGGGGGAAGAACCAAAGAGACTCAGGGCTTATGGCCTGGGTGGGGCCACACAGGGACTGTATCTGCTAAATAATCAGAGATTCCACGAGAGGAAATAAAAACGAGGCTGGCTTTCTTAATAGTAATTTTTACCTTTTTCACAGTCTCAAAATTAGCAGTTGTAGAAATTTAAGAAAATAGAGAAAGAATAAAAAGAAAAAGTTCCAGCCGGGCTCGGTGGTGCACGCCAGAGGCTCTGGAGGCTGAGGCAGGAGGATTGCAAGTTCAAAGCCAGCCTCAGCAATTTAGCAAGGCACTTAGCAACTCAGTGAGTCCCTGTCTCTAAATATAAAAAAGGGCTGGGGATGTGGCTCAGTGGTTGAGCACTCTTGGGTTCAATCCTCAGTACAAAGAAGAAAAGTTCCATCACCACTGTGAACCTTAAGGTTACACACACACACACACACACACACACACACACACTTAACAGATGTGTGCTATGTGAGTGTGTTCTTCCAAATTCTTTTCCTACGGTTCTGCCACCTGCGGTCATGTTTACCAGTCACGTGATGACTTTCATCATGGTGGAGTCTTAGACTGAGTTTGGGGATGCAGGAACCAGAGGCTGTGGTATGGGGTTTGGGTTTGGCTGAGTGGGGAAGGGCAGGGACCTCCTGTCTCCCAGGCTCTCCTTCTGATGCCCTCTGGCCTTTCCCCACCATCTGGGGTGACAACACTGAAGGCCAAGGTCCTGTGACCCCTTGCCAAATCCAGCACAGCAAAAGTCAACACCAGTTCCCCAGGGGTGTTTTGTCACTGGCCTGACCCCCAGGGCACCGCACAGGGAGGCGCATGTCCTGACCGTTGTTATCCAGATAAGCTTCAGACCTTTGCCCTGGCTGGGGGCCCGGTCACCACATCCACACCCCTGGCTGCTGCTCACCACGTGCTCTGTCTGGCAGGCTGCACCTACATGGGCAGAATCTTCTACAACAACGAGACCTTCCCGTCGGCGCTGGACCCGTGTCTGAGCTGCATCTGCCTGGTACGGACCACCCTTCCCCGACCCCTGGCTCTGGAAGTGCCCCAGCCACCGACACCAGCTCCTGACTGCAGAGGTCAAACTCAGAGCCCTCTCCAAGAAGGGTCACTCCTGGGTCCTGGTGAAAGACAGCTCCCTCCAGCCTGCCCAGGGTGAATCATTAGCCAGGACCAGGGAACTATTTTAAGCCCTGGCTGGGCGATGTCCTCTGCTTCTGGGTTACCAGGGAGTGTCTGGGGGCTGGTTCCTTGCAAGTATGAAATGTGGCCCAGGGACTCTTGCTGGAGTGGTCAGGAACACAAACTGTTTCAGAGTCTTTTAAGCAAGCATTTGAGGCCTCCCTGTGCGCCAGTCCCTATTCTAAGCCCTAGCGATGCATGACTCAGGCCTGTAATCCCAGTGACTCTGGAGGCTGAGTCAGGAGGATCACAAGTTCAAAGCCAGCTTTAGCCACTTAGCGAGACCCTAAGCAACTCAACAAGAGACTTGCTCAAAATAAAAAATCAAAAGGGCTCCGGATGTGGCTCAGTGATTGAGTGTCCCTGGCTTCAATCCCTGGTATCAAAAAAAAAAGAGAGATGCATGAACCCAGTGAATCCGAGAGTTCCATGGCACCATCACTTCATTCCTTCTAAAGAGAGAACAGAGGCACCAAGTCCTTTGCTCATGATTCCACAACCAGTAAATCAAGATGCAGAGCTCTGAACCCCTGCCTTCTCGCTTGGGGACGTATGTGTGCACGCCCCGAGCCATCCTGCCTGAAAAGCCCAGTCGATAGCACACGGTCTAGTTTGGTACTTAGAAAATGGAGGCGGAAAGCGCTTACAGCACCTAGAGTGTCTTGGGTGTGGGTGAGCCTCAGCTGGGGTGCACGGAAAGGGGCAAGGTGTGCAGAAAGCTCGAGAAGCCAGGGTACACACACCCGGGGCCTGAGAGGCCGACCCTCGCTGGTCAGCCACATCCGTCCACAGCCACATGCTGCAGGGAGCTTTGCCTCTGGCTGTTTTCTTCCCTAATTTTTTTTAATTTAAATTTTTAATTCTTTGCGGTGCTGGGGGTGGAACCCAGGGTGCCGTACATGCCAGGCCAGCGCTCTGCCCCTGAGCCACAGCCCAGCCCTTCCGGGTCCTTGGTGACCCCCTATCCTGGGAAGTTCATGCATCCGTTCAACAGACGCCTATCAGTAGATGAACCTGTAGACCAGCCAGGCCTTGCCCTTGTGGGGTGTGCGTTCTGGCAGGAAGTGGACTCTAACCAAGTGTCTGCCACCTCGGCCATCTCCGGCGCACCCCGCCCTGGACGGCTCCCCCACGCTGGCTGCTCCGTTGGGCACATGGCGCCTTCCCGAGTGTCCCCTCCGCTGCCCTCTGTGAAGGGCCTGGTGTGTTTTCTTGTCCTGCAGCTGGGCTCGGTGGCCTGTTCGCCAGTGGACTGCCCTATCGCCTGCACCTACCCTTTCCACCCCGACGGCGAGTGCTGCCCGGTGTGCCGTGGTGAGTGCGGGCTGAGTGGGACGAGCCGCCTGTGCCCGAGGCGCCTAGGTCGCCCTGGCTCTTACAGGCCTGTCCCCTCTGCCTTGCAGACTGCAACTACGAGGGAAGGAAGGTGGTGAACGGCCAGGTGTTCACCTTGGACGATGAGCCCTGTACCCGCTGCACGTGCCAGGTGAGCTGGCCCAGGCCTCGCTACTCCTGGCCACGGGGAGCCCTCAAACCAGCCAGCGCACCTGCGTCCTCCCCCGCCACTCGCTCTTCACCCCTGGTTGACTACCCGGACCTGGGATCTGGCCATCTCCCTCTGTGGAAGTCCAGACAGGGACCTGGCTGTGGGACCCCACTGCTGGTGCGGGAGGCTTCCAAGGGCTGCTCTAGGTGGGCAGGATGCACTGCACTGCTTCATGGGTGTCCTTCTGCTCCCACAGCTGGGCGAGGTGAGCTGTGAGAAGGTCCCTTGCCAGCAGGCCTGCACCGACTCTTCCCTACCCCCAGGGGACTGCTGCTCCTCCTGCCCAGGTAAGCGGCTCTGGGTCCTGGAGTCCACCATCATCTTCCACTCCGATCTTCTCAGAAGCATAGAACTTAGACAAAACTGTGGCTGAGAAACCCAGGCTCAGAGAGGGAGCATGGCTTGCTCAAGGTCACACAGTGGTCGGGGCTGGCCTGAGCCCCACCCAGCACTCGTTATACCACACTATGATAAGGGGCCACCACCGGGCATGTTTGTTTGTTTATTTTCTGTTCTTTTTTTTCTTCTCCATTGTCTCCTTCCTCAGTCTCTTCCTCTGCTTTCTTCCTTTTTTAAAATGGGGTAGCAGGGATTGAACCCGGGGATGCTGTACCCCTCGGCTACGTGCTCAGTGTAGCTCAGGCGCGTGCTCAGGTCTCAGTCGGTTGCCCAGGTTGGCCTCACACTTCTTCCTGCCTCAGCCTCCCAGGTAACGGGGACTTGTCTTCCGTATTTAAATCATAACTTGGGAATGGAGTCAGGTTTGTAGGACAGTCGTTGCCGGCATGTGAATGAGGACTCATTCTGCGTTGGGCTCTTCCAGTGTCCACCTCCCCTCTTGGTAGCAGCCCCCTGAGATACATATTATTAGCATCCCCACCTTTGCCAGGTGAAGAAACTGAGGCACAGAGAAGCGATGTGATTTGATCCAGTCACAATGGGTGGTAGAGCCAGAATTTGAGCCTTCAGTAAATGCTTCTCAGCCACTGTAAGGAATTGATTCCTGAAAATTATTGCCTCATCTGTCATCTTCCCTTGTTAGTGTATGTATTTTTTAATTTTTTTGAGATAGGATCTTGCTATGTTGCCCAAGAGGTGGCTCTGCAAGCATGCACCGTTGCACCTGGCTCGTCCATATGGATCTTTTTTGTGTAGTTATAAACAGGAGATGATGATGTACATGATTTTCAAGAATTGATGTGGCTCACAGCTGACCATTTAAAAAAATTGTAAAATACAGTAGTCCCTCCTTACCCATAGGAGATACTTTCTAAGACCCCCTTTGATGCCTGAAACTGTGAACAGTACTATGTGCAAACTCTGTGATACTGTTGATTTGATAAAGGAGGTTGCTAAACGACGAACAGGCTGGTAGCATATACAGCATGGATACGCTGGATGAGGGAATGATTCACATCTCAGGCAAGGCCTAGTGAGACGATGGGAGATTTCATCATGCTACTCAGAATGGTGTACAATTTCAAGTGTATAAATGGTTTACTTTTGGAATTTTCCACTTAAAATTTTGGGACAGTGGTTGACCATTGGTAACCGAACATGCAAAAACACGACCTTGGATGAGGGGATCACTGTATTCCCTTGTGTTGCTTTGCCTACCTCCTGCTGACATTTCTGCATATTCTCTCAAACTGTTTAGACCTTTTTTCCCCCTGTGGTTCTGGGATGGAACCAGGGCGTTGCTCATGCTGGGCAAGCACTCCACCACTGAGCTACACCCCAACCACCTTCAGAATTTTAACTTTTCCAACTTTCTGTGTCCACATGAAGTACCTTAAATGTGGCTGCTTTTAACATTTTCTGAACTTCTAGGAACAGTGGATTTTTTCATGAGCTTGTGGGCCTGAATGTCTTTTTATAAAATATCTGTTGATGTCCTGTAGCCTTCTGAAGGATGCTTTCTGATGTTCGGGCAGCTTCTTGGGTCTGTGGTGCCGGCCACACCACGGAGCCAGTGGGTCCATGAAGTTGGGAACTGCTGGTAGTTGACAGAGTTTACTTCATTTTAACCACCACACACTCCTTTGCAGGCAGATAGATGACATTCCCCTGGCTTTCTAGAGTCACTGGTAGGGAGCGTGCCAGGCAGCATACTGAGCATCTTGCTCGTGTTGCCTTGTTGAACTGACGGCTCCTGGAACATTCTGGCACGGCTGCACTTGTGATCTCCATTTTGCAGATGGGAGACTGAAGCTCAGTTGGTGGCGTTGGACTCAAGCCCAGGGCCCTCTCTCTTTTCTTACCCTGGGCTCCTCTGCTCTCTGCTCTCTGGACTCCACGTGGGGAAACTGAGGCCCGAGGAGGCGATGGACGCAGCCTGCCCCTTGGCCCGGAACGTGTAGCCTCTGCTGCAGGGTCCCCGCGGGCCTCTTCATGACCAGAGCACCTTGAAGGGAAACAGCTTCTGATTGAAGTAGAATAGGAATTGCTTCCTTTCCGTCATTTAAAAACAATACAGCAGATTTCTTTGAGATATGACTCAGAGACCACAAAGTTCACACATTTCAGGTGGTTTTCGGCTGCTCACAGAGCTGTTGACCACCCTTGGGATGATTCTTAAACGTGCTGGACGGTGTCCATCTTCCCATCACACCTTTCTTCAGGGTTCTTCTCCTGCCTTTCACCCTCTGTTTTCTTTTTGTTTAGCTGCCTCCTTCCGTATCTTTCTCCCATGTGCTGAGGCATTATGATGTACCAGCCTCTTGGTCAAGACTTAAAAAAAATTTCTCTTTTCAGTGCTAGAGATCAAACTCAGGGCCTTTCTTGCACATGCTAAGCTATATACACCCCAGGCCCTAAATTTGTTTTCAAATGGTTTTTATTGTTTAGACTAGTTTAAGTTCACAGCAAAATGGAGCGGGAAATACGAGTTCCCTCAGACCCCCCGCTCTGTAACTCCCACCCCCGCCTCCCTGATGTCAACGTCCCACACCAGAGTGGTACATTTGTTGTCATCAGTGAACCCACGTGGTCGCGGCATTACTACCCAAGTCTACAGTTTACATGAGGGTGAGGCCGAGACTTCTCTGCACCCTTTCATCAGGTTTAACCCTATTATTGTGCCATTTTGCAGATCAGAAAATGGAGGCCCAGGGAAGTTATGTGCTAGGTCACACTGCAAATCCTGGCAAAGCCACTTGGATGAACTGCCTCCCTCTATTTGTGTCCCTGGTGGCAGAGGCTGGCTGGTCCTCCCCAGGTGGACCGAGTCCCCCTGGAGGACAGAGCATGGGTGTCTGTCCCCAAGTGACTGGAGCCTCCTCAGCCACCAGGGAAAACCTTGTACAGTCTGTTTCTCCCTCTTCTCTCTAGATTCCGTTTTTCCTCTGGGAGAAACGCAGGGGCTCACCCCTTATGGCGACGTGGTATTGGGCAAAGCCGCTCGGAGTTCCCGCGGAGACACCCAGGTGCCCATCAACTGCAGCTCCTGCCTGGCGCCCCCAAGGCCAGCGCTCCACCTCTTCCAGCTCCTCCGAAGAACGAACTTGTCCAACGTGCAGACTTCACCCACAGGCCCCTCAAAAGCCCAGGCCTCGCCCTCACCCCCTCTGAGGCCAGGGGAGCCCAGAGCCTCCCCGTCCCCTGGGCTCTCCCCAGGGCCTTCCGCCCCTTCAGAGCCCTCCACTCTACCTCCAGCCTCTTCAGGGGCTCATCGGCCACTTCGTGTTACTCCCGAGCGCTCCTTCTCAGCCTCTGGGGCCCAGACAGCGTCCAGGTGGCCTCTGCCTGCCACCCTCTTGACTGAAGCTTCAGCACCTTCCACAATGTCCCCTGGCCCCTCAGAGACCTCCACCACCTCCCTCAGGCCTCAGAGACTCTCTGCAGCCCTTGTGGCCACCACTCATTCTGGTTCCCAGCAGCCCACAGAGGGGACCTCAAGGGAGGAGGAATCCACCGTCTGAGCTGGTCACCACACCCGAGAGACTCCGACAGAGAGCGTTGACTAGTGGCCCAAGGAACTGCAGGGCAGCCCTAGGGGCAGACCTGGCAGGCGATGCCAGGGGTTGGCTCTCCCAGGGCTCCTGGTGGGGATGGGAACCCCAAGGTTGAACGTGACCTTGTTACTGAGAAGCATTCGGACGTGCTGTAAGAATCACGTAGATGGTGGTCTCCGTGTCAGCATCCTTCCTGGACCGCTCGGCTGGCTGGGCTCTGGAGGAAGGTCGGGTTTGCCAAGCCTCCGTGGGAGGAGGACCACGGGCCGCCTTCTCCCGGGTTCCTGATTAAAGGTGTCTGGTTTCCCAGGCTTCCTCGCTCATTGGCATCTTGCCCTGTGGGGAGGTGGGAGCGTTGCCCCAGGTCCGTGGGTGGTGAACCCCTGCTCCTGCCTTAGCCCCCTGCTGGGGAGGGACTCTTGCCCCACCCCAGGGCTCTGATGTTGGGGATTCCTCAGGGAGAAGGGGAAAGATGGAGGCGAGGGCTTTGCAGGTTGGGGCCCCTGGGAAGGCCCCTCTGAGATGGAGATGCAGGCAGGGGCATTCCCAGCAGGACCTCTGTTTTCGGAGGAGAAGGGGGGGAGGGAGAGCTGAAGTCTCAGCCTTTCCCTTCTGGAAGCCCGAGGCTGGGGTGGCCCTGCAGGGTTGTCCTGGGTTGGGGCAAGGGAACTGGGCTGGTGCCCCATTGGAGCAGTGGTTTTATCTGGGCTGTCCCAGGTGGGGGTGAGTCAGGCAGCTCTCTGCAGCCAGGGCCATGCACTCTGAGGGTTATGACTGACAGCTGTCAATCACAACCTTTTGACCACCTTGCCACCATTGAAGGGCTGCTGAGACCCCTCTTCTTAGCCCTTCTATGGCCTGCTACAACCCACTTCCCAGGGTAATGGGTCTGCCAGAGTGGCTCCTGGGTGTCCAGCCCAGGCGCAGCGGGTGCTGGGTCCCAGCCTGGGTACCTCATCTCAGTATCCCTGGGGATTAGTTCCAGGCCCAACCTCCTGGGAGGCTCAGGTCCCACGTAAGTGGTGCAGCATTTGCTTGTAAGCTGTGCACATCCTTTTGTGTTCATTTCTAGATTACTAATAATACCCGGTACAGGTGTATATCATATAAATAGTTGTTATTTGTTGTGCTGTATTTAGGGGGAACTACCCAGAAAAAAAGTCTGTACGTGTTCAGTTCGGGTGCGATTTTAAAAAAAATATTTTTGATGGGCGGTTGGTTGAGTCTTCAGCTGTGACATCTGCAGGCCGACCGTCCAGCGGCAGGAATGATGAAGGACCTGGAGCCAGGAGCGTGGCAGCCAGGTAGATGCAAGGGATGTGGCCATTGTTTTGTCCAGTAAGACAGGGTGGGGCTAGGAGTGACGTCTCAGAGGTTTGTGCTGTGGCCCTGTGGGCCCTGAGCTTCCTGCAGTGGGATGCCACCCAGAGATCCTCCCGTCTCAGATGCAGCCAGCAAAGCGACTGCTCCTGTCGCAGCTTCTCAAGAAAGCCCGGCCGTCGAGATGGTAGTGGCTAAAAATTGTTGCCAGTTTCCTCATCGCTCTCCCTCCACTCAATAAAGAGTGAAATTAGGTTTTAATACTAGTCTCCGCCTCCGTCAGGGATGTTCTTTTTGAATGTTTAAAGGAGAGTGGCGCTTGTCTGGATTCCCTCCCCTCCTCGCCCAGCAGAGAGCAGAGGCCCAGTGGCCTGGGGAGTGTCCTAAGGAGCTCAGGCCATGGCAGCTGAGCCAGGCCAGGAACTCACCCTTCCAGCGCCAGCCCAAACTTGCTCCCTGGTCACCTCCCTTGATTCGGTCCTTCAGCTGGGGTTCAGGGAGCACATGGACGGCTAGTCCCCAGCGGGGTGCCCCATCACCTGATCCTGGTTCAGGTTCCCCTGATGAGGATTCAGAGGTAAGGATTTGGACAGGCTCAGTCCTGGGGACCCGCTGGGAGACTGTCATCCATGCTTCAGGACTGTCCCCCAGGGCGTAAAGATGCAAGGGTAGTGCCCCCTGCCGCTTGTCGCCCTGGTTGAGCCTTGCTCCTGGACTGTTCGCTGTCCAGCCGGCCCCTCAGAGGACCAGACTTACCTCCCTCTGCTCACTCCCAGGCACGGGAAGCCTCTTTGGGAGGAGGCTCCAGAGCTGTCTGCGGAGGACCTTTGGCTGGGCCAGGGCTATGACTAGGACATCAACAGCACAGTCCTTCTCAGGACCCCTGGGGCTCAGAGCAGCCCTCCTTCCCCCTTCAGCAGGCGGCCTCACTGTGACATGTTGGGAGAGCCCAGGTGGGATCCAACATGGTAAGGACATGTTCTGGCTGGGTGTGGTGGCACACACACAATCCCAGGGACTTGGGAGGCTGAGGGCAGGAGGATCCCAAGTCAGAGGCCAGCCTCAGCAACTTAGCAAGACCCTGTCTCAAAATAAAAAAGGCTGAGGATGTGGGTCAGTGGTAAAGTGCCCCTGGGTTTTATCCCTAGTTTGGGGGTGGAAAGGAGAACAGGGAAAGCCTCTGTCCCCTGACCAGGTTGGCTGTCACCAGAAGGCTAGAAGTATGATAGGGTCCCCTGCTGGGAGTGATGGGTTTTGACTGGAAGAAGTGGTCTGAATTTTCAGCAGCCTGGGCTCCAAGAAGCAAGGGGCTATTTTTTTAGTTAGAAACACCCACATTTCCCCTTACTTAGGATTATGCTTTTAGGGTTCTGAGAAACAGGATTGTCTGGGCATGCCCAAGACTCCCCAGGGGATGAAGGAACTGCTCCCTGGGGTCAGTTTCTTGGGTCCTGGGAGCTTCCCAAGGGATCGAATGAGCCGGCCTGTTTCAAGAGACCTGATTTTGGAGGTTATCCGACAACCAGGCCTGCAGACAAATCCTGGTAGGTTTCCAGTTAGGACAAACTTTCAGAAGTTGCAAAACAGCTTGAAGAAACACATTTGATTGAATAGCACACCCACATCATTCAAAACACACACATGCCGATTTCACATATGTAAAATTGTAAATCATATCTGGTTAGAAGGCCCCCCTGATTCACAGACACCCGGTTCCCCTCTTCTTCTTGCCATGGATTCTGGTTCTTGGGTGCCCAGCCTGAGTTCCTTTCTCTTTGTACAAGCAAATCTTAGCACAGCACAGGCCCCAGTGAGCCCTGGTTGTTTTTTTTCTGATTTTTGCTTGATCTCTTTTTATGATCGTCCCATCCCAGCGCCCAGTGAGCATGCTCCTGCTTTCTTTATCCAGCCGGGTCGGGGCTCACTGCTCACATCCTGCTTCTTTACTGCCGATGCTACAGAATAGCCTTGTACTTCCATCATTGTGCACGTGTGCGAGTGAGTCTTTGAGACACATTCCCTGAAGCGAAGTTACTGGGCCAACAGGTAGATGCGTTTCTCATTTTGATAGATATTGCCACGTCGCCCTCCTTAGGGGAGGTACAAATTCAATCTCCCACCAGCAACGTGCGGGAGTAATCTTTGGAGAGGGATGGGGTGAATGGCCTGGGAACCGGTGGGATTAAAGGGGCGCTCCTCGACCCGTGTGGATAAAAGACCCCCGAGGCCTCAGAGAAAGACACAGGAAGAAGAGGCCTGTGTGAACGTGGCGGGGACCCGGCTTGTCTTGTGGAGAGCGTGAGAAGAATCAGACCAGACATGTTGGCACAGGGTCTTCCAATCCCAGTTATCTTCCTGATGAGGAATCTCTTTAGATTCTATCTGGATGCAGGAATCCCAGGACCAGGGGAAGGAAAGGGACTGAGAGAGATGCGGGCTGAGCTGTTGCTGGCTGCCTGGGGAAGGGAGAGAAGGATGGGACCAGGAGCAGGGGACAGGCAGGGTCCAGGAAGACTTGGCTGCATCCCCAGAGCCTAGCCCAGTGCCTGGTTTATAGTTGGTACTTGGGAAATGTGCCCCCTCCCAAACAAAACAAAACAAAACAAAATACCAAATAGATTAAAGGAGCCCAGATGTGGCAAAATTCCTCTGCAGAAAGCTGAGAAAGCACCTGCTTATACTGTGACCAAATATGCCTGGAAAGAATGTTGGTGGCAGCGGGGGCCAACTGATCTGTTTTCCTACTAGGCTGAAGTCAGACTCTATCTCCTCTCTCCTCTTATCTTAGTTATTTCCTTTTACTTTGATATTTTTATTTTCCAGTGCTGGAGATGGAACCCAGGGCCTTGTTCATGTTAAGTAAGTGCTTTACCACTGCGCTGTTTCTTTTTAAAAAATTTATCTCTAGTCATTCATTCAACAACTCTTTATTGAGCACTTACTATATGCCAGGTTCAGCTCAGGCTCCTGAAACTTCAACAATAAACCAAGCAACCCCGGTCTCTGCCCTTGTGGACCTGAAACAGACACCCAATTAATGCAAGATTATCTGTGGCACTTGGTACTATGAAGGGAAAGGGGGGGCTGTGCTCTATGGTGGAGATGCCCCACAGCACTTCACAGGACAGTGACATTTCAGCTGAGATCTGCAGATTCTAAGTGACAGCAAACCAAGGAAAAGGAAAGGGAACAGCCTGTGCTGAGGTCTGGAGGTGGCAGTAAAGCCCTGGGCTGTTGGTGGAGGTGGGGGAAGGCCCGCGTGCAGGGAGCTCAGAGCACGCAGATCCAGGGGAGGAGGGAGGCACAGGGACCAGGGCGTGGAAGACCTGCCAGAGGTTCCGTCCAGGGGCAATTGCACAGTGCTAACTAAAGGTTTTAAGCAAGGGAAGAATGCAGTCAGATTTATGTTTCCAAAAACCTGATCAGGTGTGGACAATGGGCTGGGGGGACGGCGGGGTAGCCCTGGGAGAGCTGGGGGCTGAGGGCTCACCCCAACCCTTCCGAGAGTCTGGCTCCAGCCCTGGGCCCAGCGCCTCCAGCAGACAATGTGGTCAGCTGTGGACCACGGTGGGCTCTGTGGGAGTCTTGGGCATGCCCAGGAGCGCAGGACCAGCAAACAGGTCAACTCGTAAGAGAGAAACCGAGAG